CCATCAAACTAGAAATTATGTACAAGACCCAATTCAAAATTCTCTTTCCCATTCAAAAATTCTACGTTCTAGATTCAAAGTTCAACGACAATATCGAATCACCAATTCTAATCTTGAGATGTTAACAAAATGCATGAAAGTACGGACATTCAAAATCATCAAAAAAATCGAACAAGAAGAAATATAATGAAGAACTAACATCGTCTCCTCCATGTTTAGAGATTAAATAGTGTCGAACATTTGTCCAACAATAAACTAATAAATTATTCCGAAAATATATATATATTTTTTGACATTTATATACACAAGGACTTCAATATACAAAAATATTTCATAGATGTGAACAAAAATTAGATGGAATCCATGTTAAAAAAAATATCTGTAGAACAAGTTTTCTACATTTTTCCGTGTCATTAAACAAACAATATTTTATTATCCCTGTGTTTGACAATCATTAATTTCAAACTCTTTTTTCTGCGTACTAATTTTCAATCACATATTCAAATAATAAAATATTCGACAAATAAATCGAAAAATTTTTCCTAATTTTTAACCACACATTCTCTTAAAAATCACTATTTAAAACTCTATTTTCCCCAAATAATAATTGTTCGGACAAAACCACCAAACATACAAAATCACTAACAAGTAATAGAGTAAGTGCATTGAGTTATTGCTCCACGAGGAATAATGTTTAATAACAGTGTACTAGTTATTACCAAATTCGATATATCATAATACAAAAGAGTTGATTTTGATTTTCTATACCAATTACAACTAAAAAAACAGCAATTAAAGGTGTTTTTATCGATATGAGATGAATGTATCGGATTTCTGAATCACCCTATTAATGCTATTTTCATTTCTCGACCCATACAAAGCCGTATTTTTCTAATATTAATGACAAACGATAATCCAATTTTATTCAATATTATTTTTCAAAATATATTAAACATATGTTTAACATGATCCGATTATATTTATAGTTCAAATTCATATAAAAAAATATGCATTAATTCACATAATTTATCACCCACTATTGCATTAAACATACAGTGTTCTATCTATTGTGAGTCTCAATACTACGAAAAAGCAATAAGTTATCCAAATAATGATCAATCATTCAAACAACGCAATATGAATGCGTATATAATCAAAAACTCAAGAAATTACTAACGAGTTTTGAATTGAAATAAACAACTAATAAGGTTTGTCGTCCAATACAAATGAGAACTTAGCCTAGGATTATTTTATCTAAATTACGCAAGAAGAATTGAATAGACATCACCCAGAAATAAGAAACAATGACGAAATAGGAAAACTTCATGTTTTGCCTTGAAAACGGCTTATGAATCTTCAATTTTCGTATATTCTTTGCCTTGGATTGTGCTCTAAACTTACTCTTTGCATCCAAAATATGTAGAATATGTGTAGAATTAGGTCGAATGAAGGTTTGGGACGTTCTGGCCATGATTTGGAACATATAGGATCCCACAAAATTATTTTCATGTAGAGTTGTATCAAAAGAAGGAAACTATAATTTCGCTATAGAAAGAGCCTTGTTGCCGCACAGTATTCTCCATCGCGGCCGAATGGTAGAGGCAGCTGGGAGACCTGTTGATCTTTGTGGCTTGAGTACGGCCGAGCCAAGGTAGAGCCTTGCAGCCGCATAGATCTTTCAACTTTACGTCTTCACCCCAAAACTTTCCTACAAAGCAATTTGATCATTTTTCACTTGTAATCTTATTCCTTTAACTTCTACTTGCATCCAATTGAACCTATAGCATCTTAAATCTTTGCCTTGTGGTCCGATCCAACTATAGAAATGCTGCACTTTAGTCCCCATAGTTTTAATTTCACCATTTTTTGTTTGTTTTCTCCAATCCTTCGTCCAATTATCGATTTTTACCAATTAAACATAATATAAAATAAATTAGGTAGCATTTTATCAAAAGAACTATAAAATGTCATTATTTAATACTCCAAATAAGTGTTTTAATACACTTATCAAAAATTGTCGAACATGGGCTATGTTTCTTCCTCTTCTTCTTTTCACAAATTTCTAATTCTAATATAATTCTAAGAAAAACCTATCAAATCTTCACTCTCCCACCAACATTACCTCCTCCATGATCAATTTGGGTGTAGATTTGGATACTTCACTTACCCATACAATCGAGTATTATCATCTTATATTGTTGTTAAGTTTCATTTATAATAAATTTAGAGTCGAGTGTATACACCCTAACAAATACGAATGTGTCAAACACATCAGCATACAGCCAACTTGCTAAAATTGATAACTATATAACAAAGATTAAGGTAAGTTTTTGCCGATTACTAAAGCTCATCACCAATCGATTTGTCTAATAAGCATTCCACACCATATAGGGACAAAGATGATTCACGCTATCTAAACAAGTCAATTACCAAAGAGTCACTAGACGAGAACAAACAAAGTGTTACTATCCCAATTTAGCAAACTTCTTTGACCATGTCAACTCTCTCAACCAATTACCAAAATACGGAGAGGGAGATTCAAAAAATGCATAAATGAGAAAGTGGTAATCACTATAATGCTCAACACATTTTGCACTCTGTTCTATTAATCACTAAAGAATTACTTCAAAATTATCCAACCAATGTCATGGACTCATCATAGCTATATAATTTGAGTCGATATGAAATTTATCCCTTAAAATAGATGCCATCAAATTTATTAAGGAAATAACTCTGTGTTTGTTAATGTAGTGGGTAGGGTTGGGGGTGGGGTCGAGTGTGACTATATTAGACTAGGAAAAATTATTTGTTGAAAACTACAGCATCAGACGATGTAACAGATTCTATCAAACCAATAAAGTGCAAACGAACACAGCTTACATAAAAGACAGCTTATTTAGCTTTAGTCCAAACTTGGAATAAGATAAAACCAGAATAAATCAATATCAGTGTGCAGTACAGAATATAAAAGAAAGAAATGGCATATATTTGTCAAAGAAAATGAACCCTTTGTAGGATTTAAGGTTTAATAACAGAGAGCAACATATCATGTACAGAAAGAGCCAATCGAACTGCATATTCAGATCCTAGGGATCGACTTTCCCAACAACTTCTTCATCACTGGATGCAGATTCATCTTCACTCAGCTCCTCGTCACTGGATTTTTCTTCAGGTGCAGCTCCAGCATCTTCAGGCTTGGCGTATCTTTCACAATACTCTGAAGATGTGCCAGAGAATTTTAATCAAACAAGATGACGATGCTAATAAAAGAAAATACAGAAAGTTAACCAAAAAATAAATCAACTTTAATTGATCTTGATAGCCACAGAAATTTTCCCATGGGTAAATAGCTAATAAGCACAGAAACATACATACTGGATGCAAAATCTTGACATGGATACGAGAGATGGGCGAGTTAGGGAAACACTAAAAATAGATATTGACATTATGCACGTGTATTTGTATATTTTTCCCCCACCTTGCTCGACATTTGTGTATGTCAGTGTATATGGAATCATATACATATTCCCAATAGCCTCCGCCACATATAGCTTATGGTAGTAAAGATCATTTCTTCTACATTTATAAATGACCTTCAAGTAATAACAACAAATACTACCAAATGCTGTTTCACACTTCTTTTAATCAGATAGGATGATTATTATATTCAATCGAACAATCCCTACAAAATAAATAATGATTGAAAGATAAATATTAGCCCATTGAAAACAATTTCCTTGAGCCTGTTCTCAATGGTGAGAAGCTCACTATTTTTGAGTCCACAATACTCTAGGTCGAGCAGGGCATATGACAATTCTTTCTTAACCAAAGTCCCCATTGTCCTGATTCCAATTTTATCTCAACTGGGAGTAAATGGACTTCTAAGATTGGTCGGAACTGGGTATCCTAAACCTGTGTCACAGAAAGGATCTCAGGGACTGAACAAAGTACAAAAATCAAGAATCTTTTAGAAATGAATTCCTACTCCCAAGAGTGCATGACAGAATAAATAAACTCACACTAACACATCGAATTGGGATCCAGTTTGATATTTTCCTCAGGAGGTTTGGGAAAGGAATTGATATGGAATAAGTTTAATTCACATGGGAGAAGATTTCTATATTGATTCTACCTTCATACTAAACCATATAGTTAAGCGTTCGATGTTGTTCAGGTGTCTTAATGTAAGTCCATATTTTTACTTTGTGTTTTTAAACACAACCAAAAGAGTGGAGGACAAGTCAGAAGAGGCGGCTGATAAAGAGACTAATCAAATGAGGAAGCGTTCTAAACAGAGAACTGCTAAGCAACCTAGGACGACCTTTGAACCAACCGGTTGGCCAGTGTCCCACCTAACCAAACACAACACTTAGATGAGGCTCAACACCTAGCCCAGGTAGGGGGCAAAGAAAAGATATAATTCTATCAATCAAGACCAAGCATAATCATTCCTAAAACTCAACCTGGGACTAAGACAGTCTACTAAACACTTGGCATTCCCCAAAGGATTCTACAATCAAATCCAACACAAAGTTCCACTAGTTGAACACCAGTTCCACATCATACCACAAAACCAGCTCAAAAAGCAGGAAAGTGGGTAACAAAGAAAGAAACTTTAGCAAAGCGAAGAAGTGGGCACGTGGGGAACTCTACCTTCAACCACTTGTTAGAATGAGTTCAACTAAAAGATAATACTCCATAAAAAGCACGAAAAATTCCACCCACGCAAATTATTATACATCTATAAATAGGGATGTCAAAATAATTTCCACGTGTGCAATAATAAATTTGAACTCACTAAGCTCGCACATATTAGAACTCTATCAATACTTTTGAAGAATTTTCCATTATCTGCTCAAAACCTGACAAGAAAACACCACCGACTACTGTTGAAGTGTAACAGGTCAGGGTAACTCACCGTTGTTGAGGTTCTTAAATATTCAATATCTACAAGGTGTAGCCAAATCCCATCAAACAATAATTTCAAATCTTTATCATAATTGTCCTTGAAAATTTATCAAAAACTGAACTTATCAAGAAAGGATAACGAAATTTTTTCTCATTTCAAATATCCTGACTTATATAAGATATAATTAATTTCTCTATTTAAACTTGAGTTCCAACCCCTCCTGCTTATTCTACTGCATATTTAAGTGAGCAAAGGTTAATCAGTTGACAGTTAGCCTATCATCACTTCCTCCCTTTCCCTCCTGTTCCTTCATCTATTAAGTGAGACTGAAGTTCCACACATCACGAGAAACACTATTTTCAATTCCTCCGCTCCTCGTCCCTTTCTTTTTCGACTACATAGAGAATTATAGAACAAGCAACTAGTTAAAGAAATGATGAGGACCAAGTAGTCAATGTAGACTTTTACACGTCAAAGCTGCTGCTCACCATGTTTTTATATTTGATAAATGATGTTGAATATAGAAAGTACCATCCAAGCATTCTTGACTTATTGGGGCTTTTTTTTTCTCAAATAGGCTTATTAACTCAATAATGGGGAGAGAGACATATTATTCCTAACTTCTACGTACTAGGAATCCTTCGACAAGATGGGCCAGTCTTTACAAGTAAAATTTGACGCATATATCCTAGACACGTTAGATTCTCAGACATTGCAATACTAGGCTGAAACCATTTCAACTTCAAACAGACTATATGTCGATTGCAGTTGAACCATGATTGAGAAGTCATAAATTGGTTTCTACAATTTCTTGCCATTAGTTACAAACCTGAGCCAATCCACATATTGGGGCTCCAAATTGATTTTCTGTACCATTTTCACTGAAGGTTGCACAAAATTAAAATACTTACTGCCATAGGCCAGTCTACATATCATCTTTAATCTGAATGTCATTGCAGATACTTTACAAAGTTTTGGAAAAATAAGAGATTGTTTTCATTCTAGAATGGAAGACGAAGAAGAATGAAATTTATACGTGTACTAAATTTTTGTCTTTTAGTTTATAAGGCTTTGACAGTGCTTGAATCTTTTGGTTCAAAAGAGAGACTATGACAAAGTGGTTTGTCCCTTCCTTCAGAATGTTGCACCCTTTCATCTCTCGTAGCATTTCTTCTGACAATTCTCACCTTTCATTTAAAAGTTAAAAACTCTTTGAAAAGCCATAATCTTTGGGCGAACAGTCACATCCAAAGGCTATAAATAGGGCATTCCTGTTTACAATAATCAACCAAATTTCAGATTGTTTACTCACTTTAATTCGCAAAATTTCTCTCATAAAATACTGCTTTTCCTATTTTTGGTTGGAAGTTCAGTTTTTGTTGACCGGTTCCTTTGTGACGGCGGATTTAAGTCCATTGGAACGACAGTTGTTCTATCCTAAGATGCAATTGTTCAAAGTCCTTCAACACTAGGGGAGTACGATGGTCTTAAGGAGAGATCGTGATCGATCGGCCGGCTCAGATATTTTCAGATTAATTTTTGCATAAACTGTAAGTTGAATCTTAGCCCCTATTTGGTTTGGATTAAAATCTCAAGTTAAAGTCAATAATTAATTTTAGCCACACGTTTCACGGGATCCACAACTTTTCAACCACACATTTCATCAACTTTTATCAAAATTTACTAAAAATTTGATTTGAATCTCNCAACTTTTATCAAAATTTACTAAATATTTGATTTGAATATCTACCTATCAAGGGCTTAATGTGTTTATGATTCAGTTATAATTCATGGTTATATATTGCAGTGTATTACAATTATTGCAAGAACAACACAGCAACATTTCAAATGTCATTCTGAGATAAGGGACCGATCCAGTGTATAAGGATATATGATTCCATCGAAACAACAAAAAAAGCTCAGAGAATAATCCAATTGTATCAAAACATACAAACGGCACACAAGGCAGCCAGTTCATTAACGAACGAAACAAGTTTTAATAAAAAATGATGTCTGTTGGACCAATTAGGGACCACCACCACGTCCAAGTAACAGCATTTTTTATAAAGATGAAACTATAGGATACAGGAAGTGGGTAAGTTTAAGTTAGATATTGTTGAATGAATTCAAAATTGGTCTTTTACATATTTGAATACAAAATAATAAGGGATGGGGATTCAACACAAACTTCCTTAGTGGTCAGAGATAGCTTCATACAAGCAGCATATTGTTATACATACCATGAAGATTAACACAAACTAAAATACATGAAGAACTAATTAACTGCAATACTCAAGTATCAAGTGGCATATAGTATCAGATTCAGTCCATCCAGAATTGGAAGTCTCAAGGCCCCAAAACTTGTGATCGACTCAGATTAAAAGAGGCTAGGGGACACGCAGTTAAGTGATTATTATGTGCGATCCCATGTGAACTGCTAGAAACATGTGAAGTGTATGGTTGAAGTGTATGGCTAACCCAATAAACTTCCGTAAGGGGACTGGAGCAGATTATTTCACTTCTATTTTTATCATTAGTATACTTTAGGCAATTATACAAAGAGGCAAAGAAAATAGAGGAAGATTTTCATTATATATTCCAGCCAGTTTAAAAAATATGTCTACCAGGATGCTAAAATACTTAAAATTCTCTACCTTTTACTCTTTGGTCATAGCCGTTGCGATCCCGCATCATTAGAGCTGCTGCCTCTCCATTCAGAGGATCTGATGGATTTGGGTATAGAAGAAGTTGTGGTAGAAAGACTTCGAACACATTTACTAGATCTGAAAAGAAAGAAATACGCGAATCAAGCTGATGAATCCATCATTATACGTGAATACCAGTAATTTAGGCTAAATTACCAAGGCCATTTGCCCGTCAAAAATGCCAAGAATGTCCACTAACCAAACACAGGACAAAATGCTAAGAATGTCAACTTACCGAACATAGGACTCCATGTCTGATTGATGACATCTAAACATACTGAGCCCGACCTGGTAACAAAACATGAAAATGTACCACTTGAAAAACTTCAGTCCAACAAGTTTTGAGTTAATACTGTCATTTAGGGCTGAGCATGGTTCGGTTCAATTTGATTCGGTTTTAAAGAGAACCAAACCGAAACCGAATTTTCGGGTATTTAGTAAATGGAACCGTCGAGTCCAAATTTAATTATGGAACAGTTCGGATTCGGTTCAATTCGGTTCTCGAGTTCCGTATAATAATTAAATTTTTTTTATATTACAACAACGCTACATTAATTTGACTATAATATGTTCAATCTTAACTCTTACAAAATGACGTAGCCCAATCTCGTGATATGTTTTGCACCTTTCTTTGTTGCATTCTTCATAGATTTGATTGTTAAAATCACAGGAAGAGAAAGATGGCAAGTTCACAATAATAGAACGGCAAAAACAACACTACGATAGAATAAGAGATTTGGATAAACTTAACTCAATTTGATTAAGTTGGGCTTGGCTGAAAATTAAAAATAGTAAAATCAAAATAGTTTGAACTAAACTGATTAGTTAGCAAATTTATTTTTAAAAATAAAATAATTAGACTTATTTAAGATAAAAAATTAGGGAGATTCAGTTCTTTGGTTCTGGATCTAGAACCGAGAATAGAACCGAACCGAATCCGTCAGTTCTCGATTCAGATAATCGTTCAGATATTTAATTTAAGAAGAACCGCTCGGTTCGGAAGTTTTGTCCAGCCCTACTGTCATTTGAACAAGCTAAATACAGGGTTAGGCAGTTTGTGAACTCACGTTTCATCAACATTTGGATGGTATATCTTATTGATAAAACCAATGGAAGGAGATTTATACGGATAAGCATCTGGAAGCTCCACTCTTATTCTCCACACACCACCTTGATATGGGCCTGCAAATAAAATCGAATTGGAAAAAAGTACCCTTTTTAATCAAATGCAACTCCAAATAAGCCACCAACAAAAAGAATTAGTTCTCGTTGAGACAAATTAGAGAACAACTATCCTGCCAATTCAAACCCTAATACAGCATCAACCATGTCAATCATCCCATATCCCTTCTCAGAAAAGACTTTCTACCAAACTTATAAAACTACAAACTCGCTCAAAATGAATTAGAACGACCAGAATGTACAAAATCTTTCACGGAATTTAATGAAACCAAGAGATGAAATTCAAGATTTAACTCAAGAACAATCTGCAACCCAAGTTTCAAAGAACTCCAATTCAAGATTAAACATGATTAGCTATTATTTCTTTACCAATTGATCGTTATTACTACACTATTTTTTCAGCTCAATTATAAAGCTACGCAAGTCGAAAACAGCTCAAACTGCTAAACCCAAATATTATTTAAAAATACAAATAGAAAAAAAAAAAACCCAGAAAAATTAAACAAGAGCCAACATAAATATAGACATAGACTTCATATAGATCGTAAAATGAAGGATAAAGATGGGTTTTATTAGAAATTATTACTATCTTTGGGTCCATGAAACTCCACATAGAACTCTTGCATCCCATCATTGATCATCTCCACCTTATAATCGCTCATCATCCTAGTAAAAATAAAAATTATATATATAAACCCAGCTAAAATAGTTACATGTATTTACAAAAATTAATAGATTGAAAATTTCATTTACAGTTTCATCAAATCCATTTCTCTGCGTTTGCTTGGGGAAGACATATCTCTTGATTTTTCTGTGTCCCCGTTAACTTCTCCTGGATTGAAATTTGATAATGATTTATTTGTGCATATATACAGATGAACTGTGCTTAGATATAGAGAGCGAGGGGGGTCTCAAGGCGGTTCAGACATCAATGAGCAAAATGAGGCTTGGGCTTTAGATATAGAATTTTGTATTTATATTAAATTTCCTTATTTGCGTAATATTTTTAAGTTGCTATAAGCTATAATAATATTAATTGGTGATTGAGTCAATGTATTTAAATTTTTAATGCGCAATTATTTACTCAATAGGTATATTTTTAGCTTGATATTAAGCCATGTTTGGTGGGGATTAAAATCAGATATTTAGTAGATTTTGATAGAAGATTATGACATATGTGGTTGAAAAGTTGTAGATTTCATAAAATGCGTTGTTAAAATTAATTGTTAATTTTGACTTGAAATTTTAATTCAAACCAAACAGGGGCTAAATAAAACATTTTAATAGAAGAATTTAAGTTAATTTATCTGTAACAAGGACACATTTTGTAACATATTAAAATAATAATTTAATTATTTAAAAAAAAAATAAAAAAATCAGAGGCCTCTGGAAAGAAGTCGAATAAGACTTGGTTGGATGTCGAATAATAAAGTGCATTTTGTCTTTTGAATGGCTCAACTTTTATATCTAAGAATTTCATTAACATTCATCATATAAGAATTTTTGAAAACTGGATTATCTTTATTTTTTCAATTTGATGAAACATAGATTCCGAAGAATCAATCTTTACTCAAAATTATTAATTAAAAATTTGCTAATTAACTTGTCTACTTTGATCTTGAATAGGAAAAAATGGAAAATTGAGTGGAGTTAAAAATGAACATGAAGAAATATTTGGGTACAGCTTTTTTAACAAACAAATAGAATGTCAATGTAGAATAATAAACTTAAAATTGAGTGTACCAAAAAATCGGAGAAAATTATTACCGAAAATCTTCAACAATTGCATCTTGTCATGTATACAGTAGCATGCATCTTGTCGTTCTTCAAGCATATTAGATCCTTAAATATATCTTCTTTCAACAAGTTTTCTTAGTCGGACAAAATGATGCAGGGCAGAATAGAGATTATTTTGCAGGCATGTAGTAATAGGTAATAAATAGAGAAGAGCACAAGAGAGAAGCAAGAGAAAACGTCCAAGAAAAGAGAAATCTTTATTACTCAATTTTTAATCATCAGAAAATAACTCACAAGACGGGTTATATAGTTAAAGAAATCAAAATTATTGAAATTTTATCAAAAATAGCAAAATCTCAATATTCATACTAAAAGATAGTACGTAATAAAAGAAATAAAATCCCAAAAATTCAGTTCAATCCGGGTTCATAATCTATCTTAAAAAGGCAAAGAAAATATTATTAAAAAAAGGCAAAAAATAACTTAAAATTGGAATTTGAAAGGGAAAATAGGGGATTTGGCAACCCTGGAGGGAGATCCTCTAACATTAGGTTAGAGAACTCCGATAGTAGCTGCTGCACTTCTGCTAATAATTCTGGATCCTCGTCTCTTGTACTATTCTGATGAGGCAGTAAAGCATAGACTATATCTTCACGCTCAATCTCAACTAAAGACCTAGACATAGAAAGCAGGTTGGTATTGTTGGCTAACGGGACATGAGTAGTCTCTTCCCGACGAGGTGCCAACACAATCTTCTTCCCCTTGATACTAAGGGAATATGTATTTTTTCCGCCCATCGTGAATAACACTGCAATCATGCTGCCAAGATCGACTTAACAACAAATGACAAGAATCCATAGACACGACATCACACCAAACATTATCAAAATATTTTTTGCCAATCGAAAAGGATCTAGACTCCTCATTTCGACTGTTAGCGCACTGCCTTTTTTCAACCACGAAAATTTATATGGTCTGGGATGACGATCCGTCTTCAACTGCAATTTCTGGACAGCATCTCCAGACACTACATTCTCACAACTCCCACTGTCGATAATCAGCTTGAAGACTTTATCTGCATTTGTGCAGGTCGTGTGGAAAATATTGGATCTCAACCAGTCGTCTCCTGAATCACCCTTGGAGGTCAGTAAACTCTTGCAAACAACTACACTCTCATGGCCATCTCCATACAACACATCGTAAACTTCACCATCGTTGTAGACGGGTTCTCCAAACTCCTCAGTCCTCCTGAATCATAAGATTTTTTATCCTTCTAACTAACTGGTTTCCTGCAATCAGTTGCCCTATGCCTTTGTTCACCACATCTGAAGCACTTAATATTTGAACCAGAAGTCTCCCGTAGTGGCTATTGACCAGGATGGAATGCTAGGGGGTGAATTACTTTCGTTTCGAATTACTGACCTCCTATTCTGCTGTTTTTCACCACCAGTGCACACTGGTATGCCTCAAAAATGGTCCACAGCGAGTGAAGGCTGAGGGCATCTTGTATGGGTTGTCGTAATCCCCCCAAATACCGTGCCACCATTGTGCTTCTATCTCAGATAAGTCATTCCGGGCTAACAATAATATAACTCCTCCATATAATCTTCAACTGATCTCATGCCTTACTTCAGGGAATGCAGCCACTGAAACAAGGTTTAGGTGTAGCCGAAAGGAAGGAAGTGACATTTCATCTTCTTCGTCTTCTCCCAATCAGTGATCTTGGTCTTGCCTTGTCTATCTCGTGAGCGTCTCAGTTGTTCCCACCATGCAGCGCTCTTCCCTTCAGTTTAATGGCGACCAGTTTCACCTTGATACGATCTGGGACATCCTTAAACTCGAAGATACACTCCACTTCGTTCAACCAATCAACAAATCCTTCGGCCTGCAACGTACCAAAAAACTCAAGTAAATCCACTCTGAAGCTGAAGTCTCCATGGTGATCCTTCCGACTACGGTGCTCCCCAAATGGTGATATGGATTTTCGAAACTAGAATCGGATTCGTGACCCTCCACTTCACCGAAATCCTACGCCGCTATACGCTGAGTTAACTCCGCAACTTACCTCTGTAAATCTTTGATCGTCACATCCTGAATGTTGCGATCACGGTGAGGGAATTCCTCATTCGGAACCTGCCCGCGATAACCAAAACCATCGACCATGATAGAATTGATGAAATCTTACCCACAGGAAGATAATAAAGCTCTGATATCAACTGAAGTCGGGAAAAATAGAGATTATTTTGCAAGTAGGTAGCAATAGGTAATGAACAGAGAAGAACACAAGAGAGAAACAAGAAAAAACGTCCAAGAAAAGAGAAATCTTTATTATTCAATTTTTAATCATCTGAAAATAACCTACAAGTCGGGTTATATAGCTAAACAAATTAAAATTATCAGAATTTTACCAAAAATAGCAAAATCTCAATATTCATACAAAAAGATAGTACGTAATAAAAGAAATAAAATCTCAAATATTCAGTTCAATCCGGGTTCAAAATCTATCTTAAAAAGGCAAACGAACGAAATATTACTAAAAATAAAAAAAATAACTTAAAATTGAAATTTGAAAGGGAAAACAGTAGATTTTGCCATCGAAAACCTTACCATCTTCACTAAATGAAACCTTTAATGCTATAGTTGACACTAGAAACATTAGTCGATATCATGCCATCAAGGATCACGAATCGAATATTATTTTTCATTTGTTCACCACCATCTAAGAATATCAAAATTATTTATATCTTCTCGATTTAAATAGGTCCATACATCATATCATAGAATTGTGAAACTGTAGAAAGCGGTAATAGTGAATTATTGTTTGATTTCTACCGTGTTTGGCATTATATTGAGAATATAAATTGCATAAAGGACTTTCTATTTTAGAATGTGTAATTGGATTACAAATATTTTTTCGATAATACATTTACAACCTTGTACGATAATACGATAGTCCATAACCACGGATAGAGGGAATAATCACTACAACAACAATAGCCTACGGCAATGTTCAAAAAATGTTGCCGTAGGCCTTTAGCAACGTTTGAACGTGTATTGCAAATCAAGGTGTTGTCGTAGAATATGACCTCTACGGCAACGTTTTACAAGGTGTTGTTGTAGAGTATGACCTCTACGGCAACACTTATAAAACGTTGCCGTAGGTGATTTTACAATTTAAAAAAAAAAATTCTACAATTATGTAATTTCCAACAAACCTAATAAATTAATAATAATTACAAAACAAAATGCTTTCGATTTTACAGCAAAGCTAATAATCAAATTTTACATAATTCTAATAAACAAAAATGGTAAATATGATTCAATACAATATGTTAATTTCATTAACCTACTCGAAAAGTTAGACAGCAATCACAATTGACCAAAAAAATATTACAAAATA